CCACCTGTGGAGAGTTGCATGGATAAGCATTTCCCATAGGACCACCTTGGGTTCGAAGCAGAGTCACCTCTCAGTGTACACGGTTAAAGAAGGTACAGTGATGTGTTCATTATAAAAGCTGAGGAGAGAATAATCCCAGGACTGCTTGCCGTATTGAATGCCACATATTGAAAACTCAGAGGTGACATCACTAATTTGTTTCATGATCATATATCCATGGTGACAGAATAAGTCAAGGGAAAAATAGGGCGAGAGAGTTGTTGAAGCAATTTAAACAATTTATTGGCACAAAGAACTCTGTTATCAAGGTTGCAAGTAAGTCATCAACTTCAGGCGTGGACATGCACCAAAGTGTTTCTTAAATTTCTGCTTGCTTGGACAAGCATGCTGCCTTCTCAAGAGGATGTCCTGAATCCATAATAGCTGGAGAAAAATTTAAAAGTAATGGAAGAAGTGCTTGTGTAATTCATTTCTGAATCAACAGGGGACTGTGTTTCTGATGGCGTTGGAGGCTTGCGGCAAAAGCCTGTTAGGGATGATGACTGTGCTGGCAGCCTGCATGCTCCCAGGTTGGAGCTGCATGGCCGAACACCGGGCAGCAGGGGCAGGGAAGCCATGTGATCAGAGAACTCCATGCGTGGCCCCAAGAGTCTAAGTGCCTCCATTCTGGGGAACACGAGACACTATTATATATTTTCTAATTACAACACATTCTCTTCTCTCTGCTCCTAAGAGGGAAGGCAGTTTATAGTTAGACAGTTCTATGTTGGAATCTTGTTCTATCTGGTGACTTTGGGCAGGTGACTTAAACTCTCTGGATCAGTTACCCCACTTGTGCACTGGCTATTGTTAACAGTGCTTTGTTCATAAGGGGTTTTTTTGGATCGAATGAGATAATGTCTGTAAAGCACCTGGCACTGTGCCTAGCATGCATTAAGGGCTCAAACCACCACAACAAAATCAGAAAGAGTATTAGGGTTTTTTAGTAAATAATCAGACATAAAAAGCCATTTTTGAGGGCTTGATGCCATTACACATACATCTCAAGACTGTCATGCTGGGTGAAGATATCTACATGCTCCAAATTGGATAACAGTGGAAGTGACAGAACCACCCTGATAAATTGGTGTCACTATTTTGGCCCTAAGTGCTCTGGCCACATTTTAAAGAGCAGCACATAATTCTGGTGGTATTGACTCAGGGTTAGGTGCAAGGTTGTTCTCTGGCCTCCAAGAGAATGAAGAGGGTGGTCATTGGAAGACATGCTGATGAGATAGCCCACGTGGCCAAGTTCTAATCATGATGGCAGATGCCACTGTGTTACTGGAAGTAGGCAAAGTCTTGGCAGGCGGGATGTCTGGTCAAGGAAGCATGAGCTCTAGAGTTATGACATGGGTTTGTATCCCAGATCCTTCAGCACAAGTGTGTGGTTTTGGGCATGTTACTCATCTCTTTAAATCTCAGCTCTCTCATCTATAAAAAGGGGAAAATACATGACTTGCACGGCTGCTGTAAGGATAAAAGAATATAACGCAATGCATGTGAAACACCTGCTACATGGTAAGCACTTTTGTAAATGATGGCAATTATGATCACATAAGTAAAGTATGGTCATGACAAGATGTGAAATGCATTAGTGGTAATTGACATTGTTTTGTGACAAAGCAATCCTGGGAGACCAAATTCTTGGAAAGAATGGCAAGATACAGACAGCAGATGCTTTGATTTGAAGCTTGGCAAATGGGTGCAGCTCATTCTGGAAAAGGGTGTACACTTTGGATTAAATCCCTGCCTTGGTAACGTGCTCACCATTGAGCTGGGAAGACCTGATCTTGGCGACATTGGGGGCAGGTGGGAGGGTGTGTATGGGAGCACACCTCCTCAGCCAGGGGAAGAGCAGAGATGAGCCCCGGTAGACTCAATCCCCACATGGCACAAATGGCTGTGAGGGTCAGATGTCCCCTGGGGTGATCTGTGAGGTGATGACCAAGTGTATCCAGGGGAGGTGTGGGCCAGCATTAGTGGTCTGCAGGGCATGGGCCATCTCCCCACTTGAGTCCTCTTCACAGCAGGAAGCTGCGTGTTGGGACACATGGCCTGTGTCGTGGAACCGAGAACACAGAGAGCAGGAGGACCCAGTCAGGGAATCCTCCAAGGGAAGCAGAGGTGGGAGAACCAGGATGGGAGGAATCTTCTGAAAGAAGAGTGGCAGGGACTCCTCCCATCCTGATTCCAGTAATTTCTGCATCTGGACAATTTTCTGGGGGAGGAATCCACGAGGTAATTACTGAGTATCCCACATGATGCGAGAGATGTTTTCCAGATAGAAAAGCCTCCATTCAGCAGAGAACTCTGATCATGTACCCGGGAGTAAACATGAATGAAACTTAAAATAAACAGGGGTGGGAGTAGATGTTACTGCAGCTGTGCCCATCAGCAGCCCATCGAGAATAAAAGCCTGTGAATATGGGAAGTTAGTTGTGTCTGCTGCCATCTTGGGAAACCAGACTTGGAAAAGGCTGGAGACTGGGGACGGCTGCCAGACACTGCTTGGAGTAGGGGATTTGAGTTGGCCCTTTCTGCCCCATTAAGGTATGACAGCCACAAGAGTCCTTCCAAGTATGTGCCCACCTCTACTTCCAGGGGAAATGGAAGCCAACAGCTGCATCTGGTGCTCACTGGTCTGATGAGCAGTTCTCAACTGAGGCCGATTTTGTTCCCCAGGGGACATTGGACAATGTCTAGAGACATTTTTGGTTGTCACAATGGGGAAGGGGAAGGGGCCTCCTCTCAACATGCTGTAAACATCCTACAATTAACAGGATGGGCTTTGGCAACAAAGAATCATCCAGTTCCAAATGTCAAGAGTGCTGAGGTTGAGGAACCCTGGCCTGATGCAAATGTCCTTTTTAGATGGCAATGACCTGTTCCTCACACAAGAGGAACATAAGAAATGACCCCAGTGCAGGATGAGAAGGGGCTAGGCCAGTCTGTTACCTCTCACTGTGGCCACACAGGAGAGGGGGTGGGGAGAAGGCATCAGATTTGAGGGTGGGGATAAGCCTATAAGGAGCCTCAGGTGCGCCTCCCAAGGTAGATGGAAGGGTTAGGGCACAGTTTTTAATTTCAAGTCAACCCTTACTTAGCTGAAAAGTGGTTTCCTTAAGCACTTAATTATACGTTTATTTCCCTAAGAAACTCTTGAGGCCAGGAGACTTGCTTAAATTGTGGGGATGGAAGCGGTATACAGGGCTTCCACCGGGTTATAAAAGTTTTCTATTTCCTCTGAAGGAGCCCTGGGAGGACAAGAAGATTCTTGAAGTGCAGAGGATGGGGGGGGGGGGGGGGGGGGGGGAGGATGGAGTGAAAGGGGAACAGGGAGGTAGAAAGGGTGAGGCCTAGTTGTATGGCCTAGCAGGTCAGGCCTGAGAGGAGACAGGCACTCAGGGGCAGCTTCAAGCCTCACACCCCTCTCCCCATCCTGGTAAGCCTCAGTGTAGAGGGAAGGGGTGCAGGAGTGGGCCATTCACTCTTTCTGTCCCATTCTCATGTGTGAAAACACACACACACACACACACCTTTGGACAATGCTCTGGTCTGCACCAAGAAACAAAAGGGGCCACGCTGTTGGGAGAGGCATGGAGAGCAGGGTAGATGGAACTTTTGGTGAGAGGAGGGGAAGGATTCCAGAGAATTCTTTGCGTCATTTTTCATTTTTCTGCTGCAGCCTGAATGCCTGGGATTTGTGGGTTTCTCCTCTTTGGGTGATGTTCTCATTTAGGTAGGCTAGGTGGGGACCAAGGGAATAGTTAAAGAACCGATCATTCAGATCTGTTGGGAGAGGAAAACTGGGGAGAGGGTATCTTGCAGCCTCTCTTGGATAGGTAAGACTTCAGCTGATGTTCCTTTTGGCTATAGGTGAGTTGGACAGGCTTGAGTTGAGTAGGTAGTAATGGAAGGGAGAAAGAAGGAGTTGGGGGGGCAGGTGGCTAGACCTAGATCTGTCTAGGCTGGAGGGGAGATCTACAGGGGAGCCCTGACTCCACCCCTCTCTAGTCTCCACTGCAGCCAGAATGTGTGTCTATCACAGTACCCATCATCTGTGGTTGGACTCTGTGTCCATCTCCTCCAGGAGAGCAGGAATCACGTCTCACTCCCCCTGGGTAGCCTCCATGTTGAACAGGACTTACACAGGTACATAGAGGCATTCATTACACATTTCATGATGAATGTGAAAAATTCACATTGAATGTGAAAAAAATGCACATGAATGTGAAATATATATATATTTTTCCACTGAAGCTGAACACAATCTTTCACAAACTAGCTGGCACACTGATGCCAAAGGGTTCCTACACTTATCTAGTGGGGGAAGCCTGGACTACAAGGGACCTGCCCTACAAAAAACAATTCTGGTTTATTTTGGGTCCCCCTTCATTGGCTTCTTCCCATCTCTCAGAAGCCGAAAGTGTGCTGGTGATGGCAGGAAGGGGTCCAACAGTGAAAGAGGTGAAGATAATGTCTGAGAGACATGGCCATGATTTGCAGCCCTGGAGCTCTTCACTTAATTATCAAACATCCACTCTGCATCACTGCCCAGACTGGCTTGGCTCCAGTATTCCCTGGCCCGAGGCTGTGGGGCAGCAGAGTGGGCTGGAGGTTCCGATGGGCTGAATAGCACCCGAGGCTGGCAAGAGGTACCCAGCCCTGGGGAGGTAGAGATGGTAGCTCTCTGTGAGCAAGACATCTAGGCTGTCTCTGCCCTCGGAGGGACAAGGATGACACACATGCGGCAGGTGGGCTAGACCGAGACCTAGACTGTGTTGCTGCTCTGGTCATCATCCTGTTTTCTAGAAGTGTGATCTTGGGCCTCTCTGAACCTTGGCCACCTCATCCAAAGAACTGCGATAGCCTCCCTGCCTTCCTGTATCACAGGGCTACTGTGAGGCTGGAATAAGTTGATGCACTGGAGAGCTTTGAAAAGTGCTATGCAATGTAAACTGGTTCTTGTAAGTCATTTATTCAAGGACACAGTACAGAGCTACCCCTCTCTCCCACCTTCAATGGGGTCCCAGCCAGCTCTTCAGTCAGGACCTGCCTGCAGTGGTGGGTTACTTCAGTGTCTTGAGCCAACGGGAGCTGGAGGGTTAATGCTTTAGTTCACAGTCCCTTCATCTCTGGTCCCATCTACCACAAGGGGCAGAGGAGTGGGGACCTGGCAGAAGGGACTGAGGATCCTTATTTGGTTCGCTGGTAGAACTGGAAGACTGCTTTCTCCTGCTCATAGGTCTCAATGGAGCCGGGTCGAAGGCGCCGGATTTCAGCGATGGCATCTCCTGCGGCCAAGCCCCGCTCCTTAACCAGATAACAGGCCAGCATGGTGCCAGTGCGGCCAAATCCCAGGGCACAGTGCACTCCCACAGCCTGTGGAGAGGAAGCCTGATGGGGTGGGGCCTGAGGCATTCCTTAACCCTCTCCTTGCCCCCATTTGGGTGGGTCTGCTTTTCCACGCAGTTGCTGCTTCTAGGACAGGCCGGGTGCTCTGTATCAAAGTCAGGGAGGGCCATCCCTGCGACTGGGTCAAGGAGGCCTCTGAAGTTGCTGGTGCTGGTCTCCCCGACTGCCTCCCACGATCCTCTGTCTGTGCTGTCCAATACAGGAAGCCACCAGCCATGCGTGGGTAGTGTGCACTTGGAATGTGGCTGGTCCAAAGTGAGATGTGGCATGAGATACACACCAGAATTTGAAGATGTAGTACAAAAAGAATAAAACTACCTCATTAATAATTTATTTTAAATTGATTATATGTTGAAATGACGTTTTTGACTTACAGGGTTACCATTACCAAAATTAATTTCACTTGATTCTTTTTGCCGTTTAAAAAATGTGGTTGCTTGAAAATTTAAAATGACATATGTGGCTCCATTCTACCTGGACAGCTTTTACTCTAGAAAATCGTAAACAGCCTCCATTAGACATCAGCCCCCATGTCTCCCAGGTCTGTCTACCCCTGTCTCCACAACTCAAAATATCAGCTGGTTCTTTGCTGCCTCTCCTTACACCTTACGTATCTTCACAGTCCATGTGGCCCCCCAATTCTCCCTGCTCCCTTGCTCTTTTTCTTTCTTTCTTTTCTTTTTGAGTCTCGCTCTGTCGCCCAGGCAGGAGTACAGTGGCACCATCACGGCTCGCTGCAGCTTTGACTCCTTGGCCTCAAGTGATCCTTCCGCTTCCCAAGTAGCTGGGACTACAGGCGCACGCACCGTGCTGGGCTAAATTTGTTTACATTTTTTGGAAGAGACGGGGTCTCGCTCTGTTGCCTAGGCTGATCTCGAATTTCTGGGCTCAAGCAACCCCCCTGCCTCCGCCTCCCCAAATGTTGGGACTACAGGCGTGGACCACCACACCTGCAGCCCCGCCCCCTCACTTTCTGTCCAGGCTGCACCCGTAGTCTCCGGGCCCTACAGTCTTCTCCCTTCGCTCTCCCGAGCCCAGCTAAATTATTCCTGGCTCGAAGTCCCGGTTCCGCCCGAGTCCCCCGCTGACCTCTTCCAGGTCCCGCCCGCCCCGCGCGGACTCCGCCCTCTGACCTCTCCCCGGGCGTTGGCCTCGTCCACGATCTGCACGAAGCGGTCGATCTGGTCGGGGGCCGGCGGGCAGAAGTCTGGGATGCGCAGCCGGTGCAGGGTGAGGCCGGGGCAGCTGTCGCTGTGAGGGGGCCCGCGCTCCGTCAGGGACACCAGGTGCCGCACGCCCAGGTCCCACAGGAACTGGTAGTGGGCGGGGAGCCGAGGCAGCGCCAGCCCCGCCAGCC